TTTCCCAGGGTTCACACGGGACCCAGTGGAGCCGAACGTCGCAGAGTGGGTTTTTTGTCAGCCAAACTTACCCGATATGTTGACAAACACACAATGGAGTTATCAACCATCATTGCTCCTTGCATTCATCTGGCATTTTGCCCAGCTGCGTTGGACAACGGACGACGCGACCAAGGCGCCCCTTTCAGTATCGTGGGCTGAATTGACATTGGATTTCAGCATTGCGGCTGGTTTGCCTCTTGTGGCGCCACAGGAGAATCCGCATACAGCGACGCTTGAGCGCATGGCGAGGTACTTCTCGACAGCAGCAGCCCGCGTTGCCAAACTCTGCGGATGCAAATTGGCACCGAGAAAAGTATGTGTCTCGTGTTGTTATTTGACGCCTTTGGGGGTCAGGCAGGTCCCAGGTTTTCTATGCAGACCCACCTTCAGCAACCACGATCACACGATGAAGACGCTGTATGCCGTGGCGTTACCGACGACCGAAAAGAACGCTGGTGTCCGAGTGCCACCGCCATGGGCTTCGGTACCATCTCCATGTTGGACACCACCCAGACTTGACGCCAACATCAGAGATTATGTCAGACCGACTGATCTCGTGGCGTGTGCCGCATATGTTGCTCGAGAATCTGGGAGTTATCGCATGCGAGAACAGCGCTCTACGGCCATGAGCGTTGTCAGAGCGACTGTGGAGTACACAGAACAAGAGCTACGCGACCTTCAAGGGCTCACAGGTCGGGGAAAGCTGTTGGAGGAGAAGAGAATGCATCATAATCGTGAAGCACGCCAGCAAGGTTGCCACGTCGTCGCCCCGCTGTATGGCGCGGACAAGAAGCAAGTACCGTCTTTGAGGTGTGTGACCTGTGGAAGACGAACAAAGACACTTACGGTCTCTGCGTGGGGCCGATTGCTGTGCAACCGTGAAGGGCATCGCGGGCCGCGTCCAGCGGGCCAGCGACGGAAGTTGGAGGATTGGTACAATGTAGTGGAGGAGCACAATACACGCACTACGGTTCCTGGCAACAGATGCCATGTACTTTCACCCTTTCGCGCAGACAAAGTTGATCAAGAACTCGAATGCGCGCGCTGTAAACAGGTTTCTCCAAAACGACGTCAAGAGCAGTATTGCGCCGCTCTCTGTGGCAAACGTTGATATGCAAAGTGTGCGGTGCTACATGTGGATATGGAGTTCAGTACTCGTGTACCCTACTCGGCAATAGTTGCGTGCCACGTGTGTGTTTGCAAACAACGATGGGTTTGGTAGAGAGTACGGCTTCTCTCTGATGAGTGTTGTATTTTTGATTGGTTGAGCGCGAGGTTTTGCGTACTTCAGTGTCATGCCGTTCCCGAGGGGGTAGACCCGTAGAGCCCATGCGGGTGGCCACGATGCCTTACATGCGACGGAGCGTGTATCCCCTCGGGTATTCAACTTGGGATTATTGTGCATTTGTTCTGGATATAAATCTTATGATTGTATACTTCTTCAGGCCATGGTTGCGAATTATCCAGTGCAAGATTGTTTGCTGGTTTGTTCTATCTTGGCAACATATATGATGTGCTGGTGTATTTGTGTATCGAGAGAGGTGTGAAACTGATTACGATATTCACTTGCTGGATGTTGGTAGTCTTATTATTCTCAGCTAAAGGTATGCGTGGAATGCATGCAGTCCATGAATTGCCGACAGCACAGAGCAACCAGTCATGAGTTCATATCATGCTGTGAATTATGACACTCTTGGTAAAGATCACGACACTCCCACTGTGTATGATGAGGTTGCAGATATGTGCAGATACAATGGTTGCATTGACGTGAGTCGAAATCAGCATTGTGTACTTGGCGAAGATTAAGATTACTCTGATGGAGATGGTTGCAATCAGAAATGATATGGAGACGGTGTGTGTGCTACTATCTGGGCGGTACAGCACTGTCAGGATTACGATGTTGGCGGTACGTGTTATGTATTGCTGACTTTACTTCATAAAGATATTCGCTGCGGTCGTGGCCAAAGTGAACAACATCAGAGCAGAGAGAGGGCGGAGGACGAATTGGAAGAGGAGGAGGAGGAACATTACCACGGGGAAGAGTGGTCGGAACGGTCTTCGCAAGATCGGACCGCAGTCCGATGAACGCCGTTTGGTGGCCGCTGGCAGCTCTCACCGGGACGCCCCCCACTTCGTATGGTAGGGGCTGTTGCTCCTCTCCCGACAGGATTGGGTAGCCAGAGTGCACCCTGCATGCCGCGGCCGCCACGCCCAAAAGGCGCTGGTGCTCCCTGGGGATCCCGCCTCGTGTTCTCGACGAGCGAAGACGTCGCGCCGCGGCCATGAAGCCCAACGGGCGCCAGTCGTCAGCGAGCGAAGAACGGTATCAAATGATTGTTTTTTTCGTTGTCGGGGGCGCCTGTCCCTGGGCGGCTGGAAAGTTTAGACCCCCACGGTGCCACCGTAAGGGCATAAACTGTCCAGCCGCCCAGGGACAGGCGCCCCCGACAGCGAAAACAATTATTGTATACCGTTCCTCGCCCGTTAAAGTCGGCCCCGGGGATCCCGCCCCGCGGTTTTGTTGGGAACCCCGAAACCGGGTGGTGAGATGCCAGGTGGCGACCTGGAATCCCCAAAAAGGTCACCGTTGGGCTTGGGGACGCGGGGTCACCGCCGGGTTTTGTGACTCCTGGACCCACCAGTGTCCGGGACATCCTCGGAACACCGCACGAGTCCCCAAACCGGGTGGTTACGCCAAATCGCCCGAGACTCACCGCCAGGTGTTGTCACCTTCGCGTTTGGGGACTACCAATTTTGGGCGGGGCTGGCTCGGGGCAGACTTGCGCCTGGTTGTTCCGCGCGCCGCGCCGGGAGGGGGCGTGGCGAGGCCGCCGCCCGAGGAGGCGCCGCGCCTGGAGTTCGGGGGGGTGGGGCACGGCCACCGCTCAGAGCCCCGAATCATCAGGGGCAACTCGGGTCAGGGCTAACTCGGGTTGTTTTTGCGGGAATCCGGGCCCGAGTTACCCCGGGCCCGAGTTGCCCCGGATAATTCGGGCGCCCACTTGGATGGCCGCGGCGGCTGCTAGGTGGTTAGCGCGGATACTAAGGGGTTAGAGGATTTAGTATGTACGTACAAGTGAGTTGTAAGTAGGTTATAAGTGTTGTAAGTCGGATGTAAGTTGTATAACCAGCTACACCTGGTTAGTAGGAGATACTAACCACTTATAGCTGGAGGCTAACCTTGCTAAGTCTCTAGTAGAGGTTAGCTCGCTAAGTCCCCGCTCTAGCTACCACTTACTAACCACTTAGTAACCACCTAGCTGCCACTTAGTAACCACCCAGTAACCACTTACTAACCACTTAGTAACCACATAGTAAGTCCGCTGGCTAGCTTACTTACTAAGTGGTTAGCGGACTCACTAAGTGGTTAGCGGACTCTGAGAAGGAGAAGGAGGAGGAGGAAGAGGAGGAGGAGGAGGAGGAGGAAGAGGAGGGGGAGAGAGGAGGAGGAGGAGAAGGAGGAGGAGGGGGAGGAGAAGGAGGAGGAGATGTCGAGGAGGAGGAGGAGTAGGAGGAGGACGGGGAGGAGGATGAGGAGGTGGAGGAAAGGGGGAGGCGGCGGCGGAGGCGGCGACGGGCGCGCCTCAGCCCAAGACGGCCGCTCGACGCGGCGGCCCTGCAGGGCCGCCGCGTCGAGCGGCAGCCTGGCGCGGCTGAGCGCGGCGCAGGCGAAGTTCGCCTGCGCCGCGCTCTGCGCCGCCATCTCCAGCGGCATTGCCGCTGGCGCGGGCGGCGGGGGGGGCCCCGCGCGCCGCTCGGCAGCCAGAGCGGCCCACCGCACGTAGCCGTCGTCCACAACCCAGAGGGTTGGGGGACGACGACGTGCGACGGGCCGATGGCTGCCGAGCCCGTCCCACCCCTCGGGGATGTCGAGGAGGATCCCCGACATCCCCGAGGGGTCCTCCGAGAGGAGACTGCCCCATGGCTCGGGGTCGCCATCGAAAAACATGTCTTGATATGTTTTTCGATGGCGATCCCGAGCCGCGAAGCAAAGGGAAAAGGGAGGGCGCGCTCCCCGCGCGGCCTGTAAGCCGCACGCGCGCGGGCGGCGTCTCCTCCTCCCTCCTTCTATCCTCCTCCTCCTCCTCCTCCGCCCTCTCCTCCTCCTCCCCCCTGCCTCCTCCTCCTCCTCTCTCCTCCTCCCGCCTCCTCCTCCGCCTCCTCCTCTCATCCTCCCCTCTCGTCACATCAGTAGCCTCCCTCGTCCTCCTCCTCCTCTCCTAGTCCTCGTCCTCCCCCTGCTTCCGGTCCTCCTCCCCCCGCTTCCTCCCCATCCTCCCTCCTCCTTCCTCCGAGCCCTCTCTCTCCTCCTCCTCCTCCTCCCTCCTCCTCCTCGCCTCCTCCTGTCCTCGTCCTCCTCCTCCTCCCCTCCTCCCCCCCCCCCCCCCCCTCCTCCTCCCCATCCTCCCTCTCGCTCTGAGCTGTCGTCGTTTTCCTCCTCCTCATGCTCCTCCTCCTCCCCTCCTCCTCCTCATCCTCTCCTCCCCCCCCCTCCCCCTTCCCCCCCCCCCCCCCTCCCAACGTCAAGGGAGAGGGGAGAGGAGAAGGGGGGGGGGCAAGATGAGGAGGAGGAGCAGCAGTAGGAGCAGGAGGAGGAGGGGGAGAAGGGGGAGGATGAGGGGAAGGAGGAGTTTGAACGACCGCACCACTGATCAACGACATTAGCGCTGCAGCGCAAGAGGAGGAGGAGGAACGAGGCGGAGAAGAGGAATCGGCGACCATGCATTGTTCAGGTGCTGCAGCGCCGAAGTGTCAATGAAAAGGTGCGCTACAGCGCAATGCAGAAGGAACCCGCGTTTTCAAGGCGGAGAAGAGGAGTCGTCGACCATGCAACGTTCAGGTGCTGCAGCACCGAAGCATTTAGCAATGTAAAAAAGTGCGCTGCAGCGCCAGTAAGGAATCCACGTTTTAGGCTAAAGCGCACCACCGCGGCTGCGACCATATCGGGCGCGCCGCTCGGATGCCGCCGCCCTCGCGCGGCGCCCACGCGAGCGAGCACGCGATGCTCGCCGTGCGCGCCCAAAAGGCGTCGGCATCGCCGCCGAGCACGTGCGCGGAGGCGCGCGGGTGCAGCTTCTCCTTGAAGAAGTAGGGCAGGACCAAGCTCAAGCCATAGTAGTGGCCGTTCTTGGTGAAGGAGAGGTGTTTCAACACCTCGGCCGCAATGCGTTCCCCTCCTCCGTCCTCCAAAAGCACGACGTCGCCGTATTTGACGTCGTGGTAGCGGCACCGCGCTGCAGCGGACGTAGCAAAGTCCGCAGGCCCGAACTGCTGCAGCAGTTCGCGCGAGATGGCCTTGGACGGCCTGGTGGCGTTAACCAGGCAGTTAACCTTAAAGGTGTCGCCATCCATGAGCTGCCACAGGTGCCGCTCGGTGACGCTCTTCAGGACATTGGCGTCCCAGCCGCTGGAGGCTGCAGCCCCCACCTGAAGAGCGTTCGCAAAGCGCTTGCTGGTCTTGTGCTTGCGCTCCAAAACCCAGCACGACGGCAGCGCCACATGGCCCCAACGCCTCACGTAGTTGGCGAAGTGGTGCAGGTAATGGAACTTCTGCGCCATCGTTTCCTTGCCAAAGACGCTGCTGTATGACAGCAAAAACCATGTTAACCGCAGCCTGCAGCTTATCCGCGTCTGCCTGACGCCTGGATACTCGTAGGATTTCTTCCACAACGATCGTGTGCGCCTCGAACACTGCGCAAGCAGATCGGACTGCAGGCGCTGCAGCGTCGCTAGCCACCTCCCTGAAGAAACACGTCAATCCGCCCGCGCGAACGCATGTCCGAACAAGAGGGGTGCAGTACATATCCTACAGAAATTCACGTGCGCTGCAGCGCATGTATTATTGGTCTGGCGGGGGCGCGAAGCATGCAATGATACTTGCATGGTTGTGAGCCCCTCGCTGGCGGTGCACTTGAAATGCTTGCTGTCAACGTGGGACCTCACGCGCTTCTCGCCGAAGATCGCGCACGTGTCGGGGGAGATGGAGTGGCACCCTGGAAACGACCAGTCCTGGAAATATGCGTCTGCGCGCGCCCAGTAACCCTTCAACCTTCGAAACATTTGGAACACCAGAATGTTATATGTACCGTTGACGAAAATACAATGCATCCAATCAAACATGACTGTCTCGAGCGGCTTGAGTTTCCGAACCCGCTCAGGCAAATGGGGGTCCCAGTTCCAGCCAAGTCGGCGCTCCAACTCCTGGAGCTCGCCCTTATTCATGGTGTTGACCCCTTCGATCAATCTGTTGCAGATGGCATCGAGCAGCGGCGCCGTCATCGGCTGCAGCCGCGACGCATCTGGTTCCGAGTGGTGAACAGCGACACCCGTCGCGTCAGAAGCAACCATATCCCGAACTTCGCCCTTCAAGAACACGTTGCGGCACATAGAACATGGTTTGATTCCTGACGAACCTTTCATTCCGATCAAGCGGTGCATTGCATCCTCGTCCGCGATCCGACAGAGCCGCTGCAGCGACGCAAGAAGGCGTAATGGATATATACATGTGCACATGTATGCTAACTAATATTGGGTGCTATGCGGCGACCGCTGCAGCGGCTGTATGTAAATTCCGAGGTCCATCTGGATGAGCTCCGTCGCGCCGTCGGGGCGCAGCCGCAAGCTGATGCCTGCGCTGAAGTTGCGCCCCTGATCAGGCCAGAACTGCGCGAGGCTTGCGTCCAGTAGCATCGTCAGTCCGTGCGGCTGGATGTCGTTCGCGGTTTTGGCCCGCATCGTCGCGAGCTGGAACCACGCATCCTGCGAACAAATCGCAGCACAACTGGCGCTGCAGCGCCTCTCTCTCTCTCTCTCTCTCTCTCTCTCTATCTCTCTCTCTACCCCCCTCCCCCCCCCCGCATATATCGTTGCTGCAGCAACGCTATCGCGAAAGTCCTCCGACGAAAGCGCCTGCGGGCCGAATTCCGCGATCGTCCAGTAGATGCCCCAGGACTTGCGGTTCTGCACGTGCGCCAGCGCGCTGCCAGCGCCTATTTCATCGCCGTAAATGATGATGTGCCACGGGCGTGGCAGTTCCAGCGCCCGCTGCCACAGAGGCTGCGTCGCGGGGAGGGCGCTGCAATACCGCAGCATTGCTGCTGGACTGCAGATCTCCACCGTGTGCTGCCCGACTATCATGTTCTGGTGGAGCTTGCCGTACGGCGTGTTCTCACCGACCATGAGCTCCCGAGCGTCTCTGATATCCTGGCGTCGGGATCCCAATTCGGGGATTTCGTCTCGCTTAACGGACGCCAGGAATTGCGCCATCGCATTACAATGCGTGAATGGCAGTTCCGCGCGAAGGCGGGACAGCCGCCGCAGCTTCGCTGGGCGGTCGTCCTCTGCCGCCATCGCGCGCGTTCCCGAGGCAAGCTTGCCTCCGTCGCTGCGCGCGCGCGGAGGGGCCCCTCCGCTAGGGGCCACGGCGACTACGGATGGAAATGAGGCTGCACCGCGTGGAGAGCAACCAAATGCGCGCTGCAGCGCTAACTGCCAAGCAACAGTCTGGGAGCACATGGCGCTACAGCGCCGCTAACGTTCAATGATGACAATCTGACGCGCTGCAGCGCGAACGTCCTCCTCCTCCTCCATCCTGCTCGCCATGCCCCTCGCCCTCCTCCTCTTCCTCCCCCTCCTATACCTCCTCCTCATCCTCTTCCTCCCCCTCCTCCTCCCCCCCCTCCTCCTCCGCCTCATGCGCCCCCTCATCCTCCCCATCCTCCTCCTCAACCTACCCATCCTCCTCATCATCCGTCTCCCGTCCCTTCATCCTCCCCGTCACCATCACCTTCATCGTCAACAGCATCAATATCACTCGCCCTCATCATCCGCCACATCACCATCCAACGAGAAACTGCAAGCGAAACTGCGCTGCAGCGCAACACATTAACACATCATGATCCGCGCGCAAACTTTCAACCGTGGTCCACGGAGAAGCGCTGCAGCGCAACTCAAACAACACGCTCAACCACGTTCCCTCCGGCCGTTACCAATCAATCGAACCAGCATGCTTCAGCAGGCGGTCGCCGAGGCCGACCTCGCTCAGGTCACCTTCATCTTCTTGGCGTTCCGCAGCGAGGTCAACGCCTCGTTGAGTTTCTGGCTGGCCACGCCCGAAGCGGCGATGTCCATCTGACCCCGGCCCTGCTACTCATACTCCTCATCCTCCCACATCATCGCCTTCCGCCTCCCCCTGATCATCCCCCCTGTCGCCCTTCTCCCCCGCTGCAGCGGGGGAGTAGCCTGCCGCGCTCATGAACCCCACCGTCCTCCTTCTCATCCGCCTCCTCATCCACCTGCAGCTCCGCGGTGCGGGTCTGCGCCTGCTTCTCCGCTTTCCTGGCGTTCTTCCGCGCCTCCTTCACCTCTGCTGTAGCAGTCGCCGTCGCTCTCGCGCGGGCCTCGCGCAACTCGTCGCGACGGTCGGCGCGCGCTTGCGCTTCGAACGGCTCGTCGCAGCGGCGCGCCGCCATTGCGAGCCCAGTGAGGAGGCGGAGGAGGTCCGTTGCCAGCACCCGCTGCAGCGAACGATGGCGACTGCGACGCGCGAGCCAAGTGAGGAGGGGGAGGGGGAGGAGGGGGGGAGGGCATGCCATCGGCAACGCGCAACATGAGCGAATCACAGCGCTGCAGCGCGTGACTTGGCAACAACCATGCGGGAGACAACGCTCGACATCACGAATGATGGCGCTGCAGCGCGTATCGACGAGGAACGACTGGCACTCAAGACGAGCACGTCACGCAATACATGGACACCGCGGCTGCAACTGCACACTCACAAACGCGCCAACGCTACAACGGCACCACAAGTCTGACAGGCGCTGCAGCGCTGCATCGGAACACAACAGCACGCAATATCTACGCCACCATCCAGGAAAGCGAGCGCTGCAGCGCTGCATCGTGATCATGATGGCGATGCAAACGTTGAACACAAAGGCGCCAGCGCTGCAGCGCCCGCATCCAAGAGGACCCGTCAACATATTTGACTTTCATCCTCCTCGTCGTCCGTGCGAGCCGCGCGACCGCCAGGCAAGACCATCGCCACTACCGTTCATATCATCGGCCAGCGTTCCATCCAACCTCGCACTAATCCTCACCATCCTCCTCATTCCTTCTCCTCCACATGCTCATCCTCCTCATCATCCTACCCATCCTCCTCCTCGCCCTCATAATCCTCATCCTCACCTCCATATGCCGACAGTGCCCGTTGCGCGCTCACGGCTTGCCGCGACGGCCAGTGAAGTTCGGGTCGCGGCACGTGCCGCAGCCATTCGGCAGGTAGCGGCATTTGCTGCACCCGAGTGCCATTTGGCCCCGTTTGGCTGCCGCCTTGCCCTTGGGCTTGGCCTTGGCCTTGGCTTTGGCCTTCCCTTTGCCCTTGGCCTTCGGTTTGGCCGTGCCCTTGGCCGCCGTCTTGCCCTTGCCAGCGCCTGTCTTGCTCTTGCCCTTGATCGCGCTCTTGCCCTTGCCCTTCTTGCCCTTGCCCTTGCCCTTGCCCTTGCGAGGCCGCTCGCCCTTCGCGCTGCCCGCGGCCAAGGTCTCGATCGCCTGCAGCACAGCATCCTCGTCTCCGTCTGCTGCTGCAGCAGCATCTTCGTTTGGCGGCGTTGGCGCTGCTGCAGCAGCATCTGGCGCCGCCGCTGGCAATGCTGGCCCAGCTGGCGAATCGCCAATCGCGGGGGGACTCGCGGGGGGGCTCGCCGTGGGCGCCGCAGGGCGGCGCGGGAAGAGCTGCAGCTGCAGCTCGTTGGGCGGCGATGGCGGTGGCGCAAGCGCTGCCAGCCAGCATTTGCTGCATCGCGGCCGTCGCGTCCATGGGTTGCAGTGGCGCTGCAGGCGGCACGGAGGGTGACCCCGATGGTGTCCATGGCACAATGGCAGTGCTCGGCTGATGCGGTGGGGCGGCAGCCCGCAAGCCCTTGTTGGTCAGCCTGAGAGGCGCGCGAGCCTTGATGGCGTTGAGACCCGCAGGCCGCTTCAGCGGCGCACGCGCAGCATGAAACCTATCATGCTCCATGCGAGGTGGACCGAAAGGACCGAGCTCACCGAAGCACCCAAGACATCCAGAACAATCAGCGCTGCAGCGCATGACGGGGTGGCAGCAGCCTCGTAGATGCGATACCACGTTGGCGAGGTCGCGCGTCACACCGATCGGCGGGTCCGCATCGGTGCGCGCCGCGTCGAAGATGTGCTGAGGGAGCTGCCGAGGATCTGCTGGGAAATTCCAAGTCACTGTCGCCGCTTGCCCCGTCGCGCCCCTGCGGCTCGCCAAGAGCTGACCCTGTAAAGGGCGACTCGTCGGGAAACCCTAACGCTGACGCGCCGCATCGCATTGGCTGCAGTCAGCGCGATGCGATGCGTCTGCGTTAGGCGTTCCCGCCGAATCCCAAACCTTCATCTCCGTCACGATCCCGTAGAGCTGCCCAGGGTTTGCGTCTGGAAGATGGGCGCATGCCATCAACGCCGCCAACTCTTTCAGCGTGTTCTCGCTCGGAACCGTCAAGCCGATGGCACCGCAACGTTTGATCAACGCGCGCACCTTCGCGACGATGCTCTGGCTGGGGTCGCGAAATAAACCCCAGTCCTGCATGGTAAAGTCCACCAGCCTACGAATCGACGCAGGCATGCTGCAGCATGCTAACATAAGTACATTTGAAAAATGAACATGGTAACATACATAAAGTACAGAACAAACAATTAAACCATACATGTGAATAACACGTCGGCGGTCCGATGTGCAAAGCACGATGGATAGCGCCGCCCTGACGCGAGCGTCTGCACGCGCATCTGGAGCGCGGGCGTCGCCGTGCCCACGCGCGCGGCCAGCGCGGCGCTGAGGCGCGCCTTGTGGCTGTCCGCGAAGCCCGGCGCGGTGATTCGATTCTGCAGGGTAGCTGCTTGGGCAGCCCCGATCGTCCCCAAGTTGTGAAGCTGCAGCTGCACGCTCATGGACAAGGCGGACTGGCTCTGCGCCATCGCGTCGGCGGCGATGACGCCGATCTGCGATGCGAAGAAGGCGTCGCAGCTGTCCAGGTTATCCAGGATGTGGTTGATGGGTGTGGCCGCAGCCGCGGCAGACATGATGCCCTCCGCGAGGGCGAGGGGGTGCGCGGACGCTCCGAGGGGAAGCGCGAGGGAGGGCCTCCCACACTGCGAGAGCTGAAGCACTCGGCTGCTGAGGTGGAAGAGAGGCCACAACAGTACAGATGCGCTGCAGCGCAACGATCGCATGCAATTAAGGAACACACGTGAGCGCTGCAGCGCTCAGCAGAAATCATCGTCACAAAGTAACATGAAGCGCTGCAGCGCTATGCATGCGCACCATGATGGAACGCATGGTAGTGGGCAATAGGGAGAGAGATATAGAGTGATGGAAAGGAGAGGAGGGAGATAATGAGGGACACGGGGGGGGGGGGGGGGGGAGAGATGCGAGGAGACACGGGAGGGAAGGACACGAGCGCGGGCGGGCGGGCGGGCAGGACACGGGGGGAGATGCATGCTCATTTGAGGAACACGGAAGGGACGGCGCGAAAGACACGGAGGGGTGGGAGGGACATGGGAGAAACACGGGGGGGGGGCACGGAAGAGACACGGGAGGGACACGGGAGTTCGGGGGCGAGCGGGCGGACGGACGCGGGAGCGGTGCGGAGGGACACGGGCGGGAGCGCACGGAAGGCAGGTGGAGACACGGAAGGGGCACGGGAGAGACGCGGGAGAGACACGGGAGACGGATAGGTATACACGGGAGCTCGGGAGCGGGCGGGCGGGCAGACACAGGAGGGACACGGAAGGTGTCCGAGGAGGGCGCGGGACGGATTCAGGAGATGCGCGAAGTGCGATCAGGAGCAAATACCGAAGCGATCTGGGAGCCTCGAAGGCAGCTGGGACATCGACAGAGGCGTGTCTGTTCAATAGAGGGGGCGATTGAACAGACACGGGCGTGGCTGTTCAATAGAGGGGGGTATTGAACATGGCATGTTCAATAGAGGGGGCTATTGAACAGACACGGGCGTGGCTGTTCAATAGAGGGGGCTATTGCACAGACACGCCGCTGTCAGACAGCATCACCTCTGCAGAGGGGCACCGACGCTCTCAGATCGCTTCACCCGAAGCTCCCGTTCGACCTCAGATCAGCCATCCTGATGCCAACATCCAGCACTCCAGCCCACCCCAACGCCCACCCACGCAGTCCCAGAACACTGTCCACACTGCTGATTTCGAGGTGGGAGTGAAACTAAGTGAGGCGCGAAGTACATCACGCGGCGCTGCTGCAGCAGCGTCGCGACGAGGTTGACGATGCCGACACCGCTGTCAACTGCAAAGATTTACGCTCACGGCTCTGCTGCAGCAGC